ACCCTGCAGCTACCCCCCCACCACCAGAATCCAGCCAATACGCTGTTTTTCTGTATTGTGGGAAGCAAATCACTGAAAGGGCTCGCTGTTTCAGGTCGCCACGATATCGGCCAACGGAGATCAGGAAATTGGCAATATCATCTCCGATGCCATGAAGAAAGTTGGACGGAAGGGTGTGATCACTGTCAAGGTAAGAACGGGTCAGCACGTGGACTGAGTGCACGGTGGCTGTCCCGTCTCCAGCCAGAGCCAGCTGGGGCAGCAGGTGATGCAGCTGCTGCTGCTTGCCCGTGGCATCCCGCTGTAATTCCTCCCTCCACAGCTCCTTTAGATCCGAGCTGGATCTCTGTTCCCCTTTGTAATTGGTGCAGAGCCTGCCACTCTGTTATTACAAAGTATGTTAAAACCAGTGCTTTTGGTAGTTAATAAGTGATCTTCTAACGTAGATTTTCTTGCATCTCAACAGGACGGAAAAACTCTAAATGACGAATTGGAAATCATTGAGGGTATGAAATTTGACAGAGGTTACATCTCTCCGTATTTTATTAATACGACCAAAGGTGAGTTCATAATACCTGTCAGATTGCTTACGGTGGCTCTCGTATGTTAGAAATGATGGTGCCGGTTACAAAGACTTTACGGTTACACGGGGAACCACAACAAGTAGGACAAGGGGCTACTTCCCCATCAGAACCTTCTAGCTCCTGATCAAAACTTGTAATCTTGGATTTGGTTTTTTCCTTCCCTGTGAAGTGCAGGGTCCCTGCTGAGGTCTGGCTGACCCTGCAACACTCCAGAACAAGGCAGAATTGAAAGGGGAGTCTTGGAGAAAATAATTTGTGTCTCTTAAATGATGTTGAGAAGTGCAACAGTTGCTCCAAAGTAGCTCCTTAGGCGTAAGGGAACGCTTGATATTTTTTATGGTCGGATTGCTCAGATAATGCGTGTTGTTCCTGCAGGGCAAAAATGTGAATTCCAAGACGCCTATGTTTTAATCAGTGAAAAGAAGATTTCTAGTGTACAGTCCATAGTTCCAGCTCTTGAAATTGCCAATGCTCACCGCAAACCTTTGGTCATCATTGCTGAAGATGTTGATGGAGAAGCCCTCAGCACTCTAGTCTTGAACAGGTGGGGCTTAGAATCCATACTTTCAGACAAATTCTGCTTATTTTTTCCTTTTATCATTTTCAAGGAGCGCATACAAAAGCGTGCTTGCATTTGCTGCGGTGTTGTGCTGTTGTCTGTTGTCAGCTTTTGTGCACAGCTGTACTTTGCATCATTTGGGAAAGAACTGCAGCTGTTCCCTAACTGCCTCTCTGGGCAAAACCAGCTTAGTTCATGCAGGGCTCTGTTTGCCTCATTGTTAGAGCTGTACTGAAATAACGGGTTTTGGTAATTAGACTCGTTCTCTGAACACATGTGGAGTGTTACTTTCCGAATTCTTCTCTTCAGGCTGAAGGTTGGTCTTCAGGTTGTTGCTGTAAAAGCACCAGGTTTTGGTGACAACAGGAAAAACCAGCTTAAGGATATGGCGATTGCTACTGGCGGTGCTGTAAGTAACGATGTTTGAGCTGTCGTTGCTCTGAGAAACGCTAACGGTATTTGAGGAGGAGGAGAGTGTCTGTGTTCATGTTCCTGGCGTGTATATGCTGTGGTACAGGCTTGATCGTGTTCTTTCAAAAATGTAACCTTAACTAATGTTTGAATCTTTTTTTTTTTTTTCTCTTTTAAATGTGGATATTGATAATGGCTGTTTTATCCAGCCCTGACTGACCATGAGTGATGTGTCCTTTTAACTGACTGAAATCACACGATTTCCTCCTAGTGTTGAGGTTCTTAAAGGGGGAAGGAGGAACTTGAGGGATAGTTGTTAGAAACAGCAAAGCTTCCTTGCTACTTGTTAGGAGAAGGGGAGTGTTCTGTTCAGCTGGGCTGCAGCGCTCTGACGGTTTTACACTCTTGGCCTGCTCCATGTGCTTGTGGGCCTGTAAATAAAACATTCACATACGGAGAAGCTGCAAATTCCAGCTTGTCGCATCATTTGTTTCAGGTGTTTGGAGAAGAGGGTTTGACCTTAAATGTAGAAGATATTCAGCCTCATGACTTCGGTAAAGTTGGAGAGGTCATTGTGACAAAAGATGACACCATGCTTCTGAAGGGGAAGGGTGAGAAGGCTCAGATTGAAAAAAGGATTCAAGAGATTATTGAACAGCTGGAAGTTACCACGAGCGAGTATGAAAAAGAGAAATTGAATGAGCGGTTGGCCAAGCTCTCTGACGGGGTGGCAGTGCTGAAGGTGAGGAGTCACTGCTCCAGGAAGGGGCAGTATCAGCCCTTTACTGCAAACCTGAGTTAACTGCTCTGTGGTTGTCTCGTAACCTTAGTGGGTTGGAAAAGGAATTTGGCTTCTTACAGTGCTACAGCTTGGCATTGTGAGCTTGAGGAAGTGACCAACTAAAACTGCGTGTTAAGAACGCTGCTGGTACGGCAGAGCCCTCCTTTGCTTCCTGGCACTCCTCAGCTAGCAGCACGAGTCGGCTGTGCGGTTTTGCGGCCCCAGCAGTTCTGAAGCCAGCTGTGCTCTCCAGCTCCTGTGCGGACCCTGACGCGTGGCTTGCTTCTTGTAGGTTGGTGGCACAAGTGACGTTGAAGTGAACGAGAAGAAGGACAGAGTCACTGACGCCCTGAATGCGACCCGTGCTGCCGTAGAGGAGGGCATCGTTCCGGGCGGTGGCTGCGCATTGCTTCGCTGCATTCCAGCATTAGATGCCTTAACTCCAGCCAACGAAGATCAGAAAATCGGTAAGTAAATTACTTGAACATGTGTGCAGAGGTGTTAGGAGTAGACCTTCTGGCCTGAGGTTTTATGAGATTTAAGTACAGATTGTCCTCAGTGAGGTTTTAGTTCTTTGATCGTAAGAGTCTCCTGTCCCCTCGGTGTGGCAGCCTGTGCTTTACAGCGGGAAGAGCTTTCCCTGCCTCCCTGCCCAGGCTGCGAAAGCAGCAGAGCCACCTGCAGAGCAGGGCCTCCCACAGCCATGTTACTGCTCGTTGCAGAAGCGAAGCTAAAATGTGTGTGGATATCCTGCAAAGACAAGTGTCAAGTCACAGAGAACACTTTTTCTGGGTTTTTCTTCTTTCCTCGCCCTTTCCTGGAACTGGTGAAAGTAGCTGATGCTCTTGCTTAGGGGAGTCTCCAGCCCCCAAGTGCCAAGGCGGGTGCCTTTGCAATAGCAGCAGCGTATGTAATAACGTAATTCTAACCGTCCTTTTTCTTACAGGCATTGAAATAATAAAGAGAACACTGAAAATCCCAGCGATGACTATTGCAAAGAATGCAGGTGTTGAAGGGTCATTAATAGTTGAAAAAATCCTGCAGAGTCCGTCAGAAGTTGGCTATGACGCAATGCTCGGGGACTTCGTAAATATGGTAGAAAAAGGAATCATAGACCCAACCAAGGTAACCTAAACCTGTCATTCGTCCCCAGCTTTCCTTCCTCACACCTCACGTGGTAGCCAGCAGGCACTCAAGTTACTTCTTTCTTACTTCTAGGTTGTGAGAACTGCTCTGATGGACGCTGCAGGTGTTGCGTCTCTCTTGTCAACAGCGGAAGCAGTGGTGACTGAAATTCCTAAAGAAGAGAAGGAGTCGGCCATGGGAGGGATGGGTGGGATGGGTGGAGGAATGGGAGGTGGCATGTTCTAATCCTGGGAATGGGCTGCATCATGAGCTGTACTATTCGAGACTGACAGTTCTGACTTCAACAACTTCAGGTGTCAGTGCGCGAGGGTGGATAGTGACTGAAGTGAGCCTGGTGTTTAAAAGAATCACTGTAACCATCAGTTACCGGATTTCATTTAACACACGTGTAATTGTTTACAGTCATTGTCCATGCCTACAGATAATTTATTTTGTATTTTTGAATAAAGACATTTGTACATTCCTGATAACTGGGTGCAAGATCCATCTACCAAGGTCCCAATTTAAACTTAATTAAGGCACTTGATATTCTGTTTCAGAATTTATTGGTGCTTGCCAGGACTAGGAAGAACGTGGAAGCCCCTGTGCGCGAGACTAACAGTTGTGTACCAAGTAGGCAAATAGACAGTTCTGTGACCTTTCTGTAATAAAACAGACTGCTCAAAAGTTACAGAATGTATCACCTTTTTCATCTGCACGCAAAGCCGTAGTCACGGGAGAGCTGTGACAGCCTGCTGCTGCTGCAGAGCTCAACCAGGAGTCTGACACCTGGGCTGGGGAATGCCGGGGCACTTCCCTCCAGGAAACATTCCTTTGTCTAGAATGTTTCCCATAAAAAAAAGTGACTTCAATTTTGCTAAGAAGTATCAAAGCTGGACTGACACTAGAGTTCTTCAAAATATTAAACAATGCTGTGAAAATCAGGCACGTGCACTGGCTTTATTTGGCCCTGTCCCTGCTGCTCCTTTCCTGTGCTGGAACAGGCTTGGACCTCCCTGGGCAGGAAAGCGCCCTGAGCCTATGGATGGAGCTGCAGCAGGTAAGAAGGTGCTTTGCCGAGAAGGGGCTGTGGGTTTTTAAATGATGCTCTCCTGGTGCTGTAGTGTGAGGTTACCTCTTCGCGTTCAGCCTTCCGGCTGCTGAGCGGGGGGCTCCTGGATTTGGTGTGAGCTGTTTGGGGTTAGAGGCTGCTTTACCTTTGGAAATGACAGCTTGCTTTGTCATCTGCTGCATCCCTCCACCTCACACAGCTGGTAAGTGATGCATAAAATCCTCTGCTTGCTTTTCAGCTCTGCTGCAAGACTTCACGATGCTGCTGTTGGCAAGCTGGGGTATGTTTGTCTCACCAAACAACATTGCTTTACAGTAAGAATTGTCTTTCACATACAGGATGTGTGGAATGGCAATTGCTCTCTCTGGAAAAGTATCTAAATGTCCTGCCTCAGAGCTCTTTATCCCGAGCCACACCTGATGCTCGGTAGTAGGCTGTGCTGTAGTAACCACAGGGTTACGGGCTTTTTCTGGACAAAAGACCAGCTTCTACACCGGATGTGAAGCTTTACCGAGCGTCAGTACGGAAACCTGGTAATGCAAGGCAGGATTTAAAATTTGTCCAAACCTATCCATTTACCTTTCTTCAGAGACTGGAAAGAAAGTAATTTCAGATACAGAGCTACTGAGTTCCAGACAAGTGCTACCACTGTAACGGACTAATGAAATGGCAGCAGGGTACTGGAACCCCCCAGAACTGAGGTTTAACTCTCGTGTGTGTTTTGTAGTGACAGCTGTCCTCGGGGGCGCTCATCTCCCAGGGAAGGCAGCACCGTGGTACAGAATGTTGTGCATCCGTGCTTGCAGAGAGGTAATGCTTGCTTCTTTATTTTTTTTCCCTGTACAGTTTGCAGTTGTGCTGGAGCCAGAACTGTTTGCGGTGGGTGAGGTGTATCTACCCCAGCCCCGCTGCACTGTGTGACAGGGAAGGTCAGCCTGCAAAACCCGCTGTGAGAGCCAAGAACCTCCAGCTAGGGTTGAAACTGTCACACTCAAATTACAGTGCTCCTTACATCACTTCTGCCCCTTATGTCAAAGATCTGGATGCTCCGGAGGCTTCAGACTGAGGCGGTTTTTTCTCTTGCTGGTGAGAATTCAGCAGCAGCCGGAGCGGCCTGGCTGACTTAATTTGGATTAAAAGTCCGTGCTCCTTGAGGCCTGGCAAACTTGGTACTCCCCAAAGCCAGAACGTCAGCTTCTCCTTCAGGTTACATTCACACTACTCATAACTTAAACTTTAGCTAATATGTTACAATGCTGAGAGAGAAGGAAAAAATAAAAAAAAGCTTAGATAAGGCAGAACATACACTGATTACACAAACCGTTTGGCAAGTTGATAAACAGCAGCCTGAGATCTGGTGTGTTACAGTAGCTGGCAGGTGGCTGTCACTGATAACACTGGACGTTGCACTTGATTGCAGGTTGAACGTTCCATAGGCACCCGCTCAAGAGGTGTTTCGTACAGTATAAAATCCCACACAAAGCTCAGGTATGAAAAGGATGCCCCGGAGGAGGAGCGTGGCACCTCTTGTACGAATGAAGGGTACAAACAAGTTTATAACAGAAGGTGTCAAAACTTCCCCTCCTATGTCTGATGGACTTCGTGCAGCATTAGCTCCCGAGGTATGCTTGTTTCTGGGCCATGGACTTTGGATGCTCTTCTTTCGAAAGCAACTACCATCTGCTTTACCACTTCATCGAAAAACAGCGTAGCGAGTTTCGAGTGTAGAAGTGAACGAAATTCAAAAGAAACCTGTTGAAGAAAATAGAGAAGAATTGCTTTTCCCACATCTACCGTTGTGAAATGTTGTTATAAATAGACAATGCCATTAAAGAATCTCCAGCTGGTCTGCAAGTAAGCTGTAGGAGAAAGACCAGTTAAACCGGAGCTATAGATGAGTACATCTGTGAAGAAAAGTGCTATTCCTTGGTCAGAGGCTTGTCTCCTTGGGCTTTTCCAGTAGAAGAATCATTTTGTTCAGTTCTGTGAAGTCATTGTTTCAGTTTATCTAAACTATTTTACCTAATAAATGATGTATCACAAAACATAAGTAAAACATTTGAGATAATGACAAACTATTGACAAGCAATAACTGGGTTGCTTTGCACGCAGGGGCAAGCTGGCTGAAGAAAACCCGATGGAGCAAGGGAGCAGGTGTGCAGGTAAGCTGGAGCAATGCAAGAGGCACTCAAAACCAGCCTGAAGCAGCTCCCTATTAAATAGCAGGGGTTTAAATACAGCTTTCTGTACTGGCAGCTGTAGTTACGGTACATTCAAGCGAGCAGTTTACTGACTAAAGTTATGAACCGGCTCCTTTGTGCTGCGTTTCCGCCCGCACACCTCCCACCCCCAGCCCTCGCTGTCCCTGCGGCAGAGGGTTGCAGTATGGATGTGCTGGTTACTCTGTACTGTGCCCCCAGGCCTCCTGCTGCACTGCTCACAACTTCTGCTGCTTCTTTGAGCTGCTGAAACCTGCAGTTAAACTGAGGCTTCTGCACCCTCAGTTACAGCAGCAGCTCAGGGAGTTTCCTTTCTTTCTCTACCCTCAGAAAAAAAAAGGTCGTTTTTTAAGTCAAACAGCCTTCAGTTATGCTTTTGTGCTGCAGTGGCCTTGAGACTAGTTAAATAATGTTCTCCTTCAGCTCTAGAGTTGCGTTGGTTTGGAATATGCAGCTTTCTGAAATGATTACCGAATTTTCAGGAAAAGAACCAGGTTGCTCTTCTGTGATTTTATCACTCCTGTGGCACGTCTTTTGGACTGAGATTCAAGAATTTTTGTTGCTCCTGAGAAACTGTCAGATTAAGTGCCAAATGGAGCAAGTACAGCTCCTCACAGGTTGCTCCTGAGTAAGGCATATTAACTGGAAACACTAGCACAGCAGGCATTAAACTACTTGCACTGTGGAGCACTGCAGAGCTGGGACAGTGAGTTTTAAACTCTGTCAAAACTTGAAGTAAGCTGTACATTTTGCAGAGGAGAAAAACAGTGTTGTGCTTCCATCTCTGATCAGGCTGGCAAAACAGTAGCTTGCGGGAACCAGCACAGCCCAAAGCTCAACTTGCATTTTCTAAAGCAAACATTGTTGAAACCACGGTTTTCTCTCAACTCTTTGTGAGTGCACAGCGTATTTTGAGAAGTTTGCTGTGAAGCACCTGTCGCCCCTCTCTGCGTGGGTGCTGAAGGAAGCAGCACCACGGGTCAGTAACTAGCAAGAAGTGAAAATGTTTGTATGAAGTCAGGTTTTGAATCCCTTCAACCAAAATTCTTAATCTGAAATACCAAAAGGTGGCTTTGGTCCAGGGGGAGAAACAAGTTTTCCTCACAGATTTGCTTAATTCAAGTTTTCTCAGCTGCTCTGTGGCTCAGGTTAAAAGTCAGGTTCAGTACTGGTCCGCAGTGGGAACTGGCACTTAATTGCCTGGTGAAATGCAAATACCATGAGCAAGTAAGATGGAAACATCGTTGGCAACTCTCATGAGAAGTGTATTTTTTGAGTGCCTGTAGATTCCTTTTCATGGTTGAACTGTATGAAGTGCAATAAGCAATAAGCTGGAAGTTACTAACCCAAGGGCTTAACATGCCAGGTTACAAATAGTCCAAACCCGTTTTTACTATTTGCAGAAGATAATTTTTAAAGCAGAGTATCCCAGCAGATGGCAGCAGGATCAACCCCTTTCTCTATACCTTGGTAGCCTGTTTGGGGGCTTAGTTACGGGCTCAGTGCAACTCTGTGTTCTGTGTGCATGTGGGTTTGGTTTTTTGTTGTTTGGGTTTTTTAAATAGTACCAGGTGCTAAAAACAAGAAAAAGGCCCAGTTAAAGATACAGTTTCTGTGCCCAGCTCTGTTCCTGTGGCAGTCTTAATGACAACACTTACTGAAAAATCCAGTGTGCATGTCCTTGGGTAACCGGGGATGCCTGGGCTGAAACGCCACACTGTTTCCAAGTGATTAAATAGTTTTCCATCTGTACAGGATGCCTAAAACAAAGTTGAAAAAGTCAAGCTACAATTAGGCTTTTACAGATAGGACAAATCTGTATTACTGAAGTTTGTAGTCACGTTTTGTTAGGCAGTGAAGATCACAGCATAATTAAAATTATTTCCATGGCGCAGGCAGCGTGAGATCCCATTTATACAGGTTCATTCATGGCAAAATAACTGAATTCCTTTTGCAGAAACATTTCTGTGTTGAGAGTCACAAATGATGCATAGAACACCAAACTAATGCTCTGCGCCAGAATTCTGAGTAACGCTGCTTTAAGCAAAGCATAAGGACATTTACTTTTTTTTCCATTACGTGTGTGGAGTGTTTTATCCACTGACATACAGGCTGGTAGCCGTGGGCTATAGGTGTGCTTGGTATCGAAACAAACCTGATTGAAGACAAGCTCCAGACATTTTCTGTCACAAGGTAATATTGTGATCCAGAGCCACCGTCAAGTCAGTAGGGCTACACGCTCAAGCTCATAATCAGTTTATATGTTGGCTTTTAATTACCAGCAAGCGATACTTAACTAACGCTTCTGGAGCGCTCCGTTAAAACAATCAAGTATTTGCAGTAAGTGGCTTCAGAGTTACTGTGACGATAGGCTCCTTATTTTCATTAATTTTCCTTTTAGCACCTATAGCTATTTTTGTGGGGTTCTTTATAATAAAAAAAGATTGAAAGACATATATTTCAAAATCATCCAAATACATCATCTTAACTGGCTCGGAATTTCTAGACAGAATTCCTGTAGCTTTTTTTAATTCTTTTTGTCACAGGTTATTCCTGTTACCATAAGCAGCTCTGCTCCAGCCAGACTAGCCACGGTGCAAGGTTTGGAGGCCGTGGTAACGTTAAACCATCTCAAAGACTAAGCAGCAGCACAGAAATACCTACGTTTTTCTGCCCAGAAATGACAGAAAGGGGAGGAGGAGCAGCGAGATTAGACACAAAGAATGGGCCTTGCTTTTCCTGCTGCTGCCAAAAGGACAGGAGGAACAGGAAAACTGCCAGTGTCCCACCCCTTGCTCCCAGCCTTCTAAGTAAGAAACTCACTCCAGACTTCCCTTCGGGGCAAGAGCTGCTGCTACCAGTCTGATTTGCAAGACTGCTCAAGCGCCGCTGCCAGAAGTGACAAACCCGAGCTTGTTTTGTTGCCACCGGTAGCTGCTAGGCCAGACCCAAGCTGCCCTTGCCCAGGCTCATTTCCAAGGACAGTGAGGTAGTCCAAACACAGTTGCTGCTCTAGAGATGTTCCTACAGTTATGTGAGCAAAATATAAACCTCTGGGGAAAACAATCCTGGCAGAGAAAATGCTAAGAAGCGTGAGAGGAGGAAATCTAAAGAACTGGTACTCCTCACCACTTTCATGGTCTTTTCTGAGCCAAGAAATCCTCTTTTGGGTCAATTAAAGCAAAACAGAGTTGGTGAGCCAATCCAAGAGCTGTGTGAAAGCAAAGAGCCAGCCTTGTCAGGGAGGAGTAGAAAGGGAAGCAGTCAGCATGTGAAATGTAGGGTTTCCATCTTAGCTATTCAACATTCTTGAGAAAGACAGATACTTCTTCTTCTTTGCAGAATCAGTAAGTACCTTGACTAAAGGCACTCTGCATGTTCCCTTTCCTGTTTATGTCTTCCCTGTTCTTAAGAAACCCAGTTTCTGGTTTGAGCAGTGCCTCTGAAGAGGAAGCCTAGAAATGAGTAGGATATCCAAACCGTTATCTTTAACAGCAGTCAACTCTTGTAATTCCACCAGTTACTCCAAAAAATAGTCCAGACCTGCCACATGAAGGGAGAAGCAGTTTTGCTTGTGTTTTAAAAGCACATTCAAATTCCCTCCAGTTAGCTTAAGTCTTTAAACAAAAGCAGCACAAGTTTTGAGCTACACAAAGCATTTCCAGCAGCAGTTTTGCTTTCAAGCACCCGTGAATTATGTGAATTCCAACAAATGAAGATTACAGAAAACTACAGCAAAGGAGGGAAAAATAAAAGGTTACCTTAACTAAATGTGGTCTCACTAGAGTAACAACCGACGTATACCTCTCCAGGACAGGAGGGAATCCTATTTCTAGCTGTGCTTTGCAGTATCCAGAGCGCTTTGATAATATATCTGACTTTTTACACCAAGGGACAAATAGTTTGTAATTCTCCACAACAGCAACAACTTCATACATTTCCTGCATAGAATACCTGGAAACAGAAAAATCAGCGTTAACTACGAGGTATTTCAACTTCAAATTCACTATTTATTAAAAAGTTTTGAAGAAGGTATAAATGGCAATTTGCAGGGTGAGCATACAGTCACCTGAAAACACTACTCCTGTTTTTGAAAATTTAAAAGAGAAAAAATAAGTAGTAAACCAGTAAACATCTCTGCATAAAGATGCAAAACACCAAACAACAAGGCTCTTTCTAATCGACTACGCAAAATCTGTTGCAGTTCAAGAACTATCCCATAACTAAGCATTAATCACTGTCAGAAGACTTAAGCTAATAAACCAGTGGTTCATACTATTGCGGACCAGAGACTGGGGGCAGATCTCAGTCCCAGCAAATTAACTGGAATGTTTCCACTGGCTTTAGGGCAAACAGGATTTCAAAATCTTTTTCATGTGCCTAAGTTTCTTTTAAAGAAAGAAAATCTCGAGATGTGAGCAGTACAACATAATATTAAGTGCAAAGACGGGCAGGTATTTGGGACTGAAGGAAACAGATTTCACACCTCTCGGGTTTTCCCTCATTTCACCAGATGACCTTACTGGTGCGTTCTTCCCTTTCAGGCTTGATTTTTGTTTCTTTTCATGGAATAATAGAAGGATTATTTCTGCTATTTCTTTCTATGGGGCAAGGGGTTTGGGTTCCAACATTTTTTTTAATATTCAATTTCAGACTAGAGAAACCTGATCTCTCCAAACTCTGACAGCCAAAGCTCTGTTCCAGTTTCCAGCTGGGTAGAGCCATAGTCGCCCGCAGCTTCAGGGATGCTCACTCTTTGAACTCCAGTGTTTCGGGTTATTCAGAGCAAACAAAACCAACGAGCATATAAAGTCTCTTTCCACACATCTATACGAACCCTATAATTCTTCTTTCAGAATATTCCTTTCTCTTATTTACTAGTGGTGCAGCAATGTTGAAGAAAGTTCTTGGAAAGGTAGGGCTCATCACAGGTTTTTGCAAAGGACAAATTCTGGTCATCAGGATGCCACAAGAAGCCAGGTGCCTGCAACAGCAAGAATGCTTTTAGGTGTGTTTCATGTCAGCAAAATAAGCAACATATTCAGGTAAGATAAACAATCTGTTCTGTAGCATTCCAGAAAATGTCAGAGCCAGATGGCAAACCAAAGGCTTGTAACAGCGCACAAACTGTTAAAAGCACAAGGGGGATTTTTTTTTTCCTCCCCTTAGGAGAAACTAAAAATAGCCAGCAGTCACAAGAAATGTCACTGGCAGAGTAGAACACGAAGGCCCTGTTAAAGGTTGACTTCATGACAGCCTGAGCTCATTTAAAAGCCTCTTAATTTGCAGAACAGGCTTGCTTAAAAGCCTAATCAAGGAAGAAGAAGTTCCACCTGGAGATACAAAGTTGAATTTCTCTGCCATCATTCTCTCAAAAGGACAGTTGCAGTTTGAAAGTCTTTTCAGAAAGTGCCTTGCTTACGCAGCTCTCAAAATTTCCTTCAGAAAAATATCGTGCAAAGCCTTGGACGTGGTGCTTTCGTAAATAAAACTTAACAAATTACCTTCAAAAGTGCTAGTAATTCTAAGACTGCACCCCAGCGTTCTGTTTGTGAACACCTACACTAAAATGTAACAAATACTCATTGTGTTTAACAGGTCTGTTGTATTTATTTTGCCTATATCAAGCCAGCTAAGATGCAAAATGCTACCTCAAAAGCTCCGATTTTTTGGCATCAGGAAGTTAAAAATGCCGCTATTTACCGTCATTGATTCTACAAATGTAAGCTCAAGAGCAACCTAGGTCTCCCGCTGTCCTTTCTCAGAGCAGACAACCAGAACTGTACTTCTGGATTCACGCAGTCAAAAAAGAACCAACCTTCGCCACTTAGCATTAGGCTTGTTTGGTTGTTTTCGTGTCTGGGGGTTTTTTTAAACACAGCGAACAAATAGATGCATTTTTTTACGGATTACCAAAGTAGTTTAGCAAACTACAGTTACTGATTTTAAGCAATTACAATTATTATTAACGTGTTCTTTAAAAATCAACACAACTTTGAATTCTGAAGAAACACAGTAATAACCTGGGGCTGACCATGTTAGCTTATAGGGTTTTACTGTGTGAGGAGACGGGCAAATAACAACTTTGCATTGAGTTTAGAGGAAAATAACCATCAGCAGAGCTGAATAGAAACAGTCTGTATGGACTTACTAATAAAGAAATAAGTAACGGATACAAAACGAGATGTCTGGCAACACATTGTAATCACTGCAATTAAAAAGGAATTACCTGGAGATGGGACAGAAGTATGGTGTCAAAATTAGGAAAAAGTAGTTTGACTTTAAAAGTCTTTAGATGACAAACTCTGTAAACGTTTGCAACTGTTATCTCAAGGGCTGTGGACACTGTTTTTTCCATGCAGACTGGACAAGGCTGCTGAGGAACAGCGCTGCCTTGACTGAAAGGCTGGAGCGTGCCAGGAGCGTTGTAGTTGCCTCAACCAAATTCATAGAAAGCGTTCAACGCTTGGACCAGACCTTCTTCTGGAGAGCTAATTTAAATTACGGTCTCGGTCTGGGGCTACGTACAGTACCGAGTCCAGACGAGTCGCCAGGTTTCTCCTCTGGGTTTGTTTTTTACTGTAATGCGGTGCCAGTGTATTGTTTCACACGGTTTTATCTAGACTTGTTTCAGCTACAAGGCTGAAAAACAATGTCCACAAATAACAAGTTTAGCTGCTGTAAGATGACATCGTTTTCACAATTCCATCGCCACTGACAGAAGGTGAGATTAAGAGAGGTTATGGTGCTAACAAACATAGGGAGGCTTCATCTCTCCCCGATTTTATCTGCAGAAAACCAGATGCCGTGAGAACACGCTGGGCTCGGTCCCAGCCCGGGAAAGCACACTTCTTCGTCAGGGAATCACAAAAGCCCAGATTTCAGTGGACTCTACATACTGAAATCAGAGGTAAGAGCACGCCAGGGCGGTCGTGTTCACTGTTTTCCCAGCCATTACTTCCATAAGTGAGACCCAGTGGCCAGTTCATGGTCTGTGAGACACGAGTTGATCTCGTTCCAATTTCGTCGACAGCAGCTCACATCCCAAAACGCGAGCATTGCCAACAAGTGTCCTCATTAGCCTCTCAGTCTGAACAAGCGTTTTCAGACTTAGTTTGCAAGCAGTTACTTAGTGACTGAACACCCTCCCGTAACTCATTTTGCTCTCAAGATTCTAACAGATTACTTTTAAAACCAGGAATTTTCTTTACCAGGATTGAACTATTTCAATATCGCAAACACGTCCTAAAGATTAAAACACGAAGGATATACAGTAAGGAACGGGGCCCAAGTGGGGTGACATTGTACCAGTGCCCAGCAACGATGATGTCAAATGGCTGCTGGAACTCTGGCACCAGAACCAACCTCCATTCCCCTTTTTCCCTCTTTCCGTGGGGATGACAGCTGAACTCATCGCAGGAACACAGCAGCACTGCCGGGACAGTACTGACAGGTGAACCTGTTTTCCCCTGCGATTTTCAAGCTGCCCTCTCCCGTTACCGAACGAGCTCTTCCCAAAGCGCCTTTTGCTGCTCCAGCCAGCCTCGCGTGGGACCGGGGAGCAGGAACCTGCTGCAGGATCTCAAGGGGAAAACATCCGGGCGTTTTACGCGGTTTTTAATGGGATGAGTCGCTCCAAGTTATGCAACTGGCTGGAGCAAAGTCGTTTGTAACTGGGAAAACCGTTTGTTCTTCCATCGACGC